CCCATAGTATTCTTCGAACAAAATGTCGGATACTCCTAAAGATTTAATTTACAGGTTAAAATTAGAGAACATGCTTGATTTTTTTGAACTCCTAGAAGGAAAACACGATGTGCAGGAAGAAGTCCTTCTCCCTGCTTTACATGCTATATAACTTTCTTCAACATCCTGTTATCCTGTTGAACAATTCATTAGAAAAAATTTTTCCTAATTAATTTCTAATAGAACCCTATAACTTAACATTTGTTCTCAAGTGCTTCATTATTTTCCTTGATCATTGTGTGTGGTCTTCTTACAAAATTCATTTTTAGCTTTAAATTAGAAAACAATTTCGAATTTATTTATTGCAAACAGGAGTACACTATTTGGTTATTACTTTTTCATCTTTCACATGCTTCACACACACATTTTTTTTATCTTTCACTTGCCCCTATTTTCTCGACTATCTTTCAATGATTCTGTTACAAACTTCAACTGGTAATAATATAGAAAGACATAATTTAATATTTTCAATAACTATTTTTATTAATCTACTGTACAATAGTATATTCTATTTCATATTTACAAACATACAGTTGTATTTTGTTGTAAAAGTTAACCCTTCTATAAGTTTTACTATAGAAGTTTACTAGTTTGTTTCTCTCATCATCCATGTTGATACGATGATGACAAATGATCATGATTATGAATATTCTCATTATGTATAGTATCTTATTTATGTAAAGTGTAATTAGATGTACATAAGTGTATCATATATACAATAGAAGAAATTGAGGTTAGTAATGGGAGTGAGTTTGACAATATTTCCAATATAGGATTTATAATAATGATTGATTTATAATAATGATTAATTAATACATATTTTCAACTTATTTTTTCTATTCATATTGTATATGAATAAAACATAACCAACAAAACAAAAAATAAAAACACAAGAAATATAATTAAATAAAAATGGGCAACAATTTAATGTAACCCTTTCAAACTTTATAATTTAAACAGGAGTATCATACCATAGAAATTCACATATATGTATATTTGAATAGAAGGTTTCCTATATGAATTACTATGGTGCCCTATAAACATGAACGACTCATATAGAACGCTAATAACAAAAGGATTTTTATTAGCTATGATTATTAATTAATCGATAGTTTATCACGCAGAAATTTTGTTTTACATGGGGGTTGGTTTTTTTTATAGAGAAAACCCCATGGGGATGAATAATAAAACACACCTATCGTCGTGTATGGATTTTTAACTCTCCTTTGGTTTATATTTTTTGTTTGTACTGATCGATTGAATTTGCACGCGTTGTTGCTGCTGTATATACATGAACAATAATAATAATAATCACTGTATTTATTTAAACGCACGCACATACGAACTCTGCTTTCTCTTATTAATTATATTAATTATATATCTTATTATATATCTTTCCTTATTTTTTGTTATGTTTTTATTTCATACTTGATATCACGAAGAAGATTATTTAAAATTCAATTCGTACAATGTTTTTTCTTTAGAATCACAAAGTGTGAGTTCTTGTTAGACAATATTTGTGTTTTTTTTCATTTGTTCTGCTGCATGCACAATATATGCATTAAATTTATGAGTAATTTGTATAGTGTGTGTATGTGTGTGTTTATTGGGATCTCTAGTACTTGAATACGCTATCTGGTGGCTAAATTCAAAATTAGAGTAGATAGGTCGAATTGCTACGCCACGTGGGATCTCTAGCACTTGAGTACGCTATCTGGTGGCTAAATTCAGAATTAGAGTAGATAGGTCGAATTGCTAACCCTGCCAGAGATCCCAATTCAGCTATTTTTCGAATCATAAAGCTCATCAATACTGTTTCCTATCATTTTGGGGTAGAATTGATTGAAAGAATTTATGTATTTGCTATGATTTTTTTTTAGGTTATAAATATATTAGCTCTAACTATTATCAATATTTTTATTATTATTTTTCTTAACTTTCTTCTGCTTTTTTTTTTTTATCATATGAAATGTTTGCAATTCGATTGTACTTTATGGTCTAATTATTAAAACGGTACAAGAGAGAGTATTATCATTTCACAGCGAGTATAGAATGTAAAATGCGTATGTGTATGTGTGTGTCCGTATTTATATTAGGTCTACCGGAAAATTCTGTCCATTTTGAAAATAAAATAAAATAATAAATTATAATTTGAACAATTAATTAATTGAATTATTTTTGAACTCTTGCCAACATGATGGCAATTTGTAGATTGCATTTTAAGAAACGGGGCCTTATCCCCTAGTGACGAAAAATTGAACTAATGTTTGTTTAAACAGACAGAATTTTCCGGTAGACCTAATACATTATATTCCATTTGAAATTTTCTAATATTTATGATGAAATTGTGCATAACATATCTGTATTTATTAATGGATTGATAATATTTAAATAATCGCTAATTTGTTTTTACTTTTTTTACTTTGAAACTGACAAAAATGATGGGTTTTTCTTTTGGTCCTTTTCCAGATATTTTTTCAAATCGAATCCATGTTTTTTTTTTCATTCCCCAAATTTGAAATATTTTATTAAAATTCCAATGATCATTCACAATAGAATATCACAGAAGAAAATTAAACGTATACGTAAAAAAAGAAATTAATTAAAATGGAGTATACAAAATGGCTAATAATAAAAAATAGTCATGGAGAAATATTGTCGTTTAAAAAGTCTATTAGAAATAAATTCAAAAATATCCGAGATAGCGTTGATATTTTTTTGTTTTAATTTCATTTCTTACAGCCCCTTTTATTATTCTTTTTTATTTCAACACTATCAGAGATATTTGTTTTTGTTTTGCGAAACATAACCTAAATCTTATACGATTTTTTTCAGAATTTTCCATTTTTCATTTTTCATTTTTTAAAGCGCTTTTTTAATATACCTTTACCTTCTTTTTTTTAACACTATCAGGGATATTTTGTTTTTGTTTACAGATAAACAACGAAATCAATGTGTTCGCAACAAAAAACATAACCTAAATCTTACACAATTGTTTTAAGGATTTTTCATTTTTCATTTATCATTTTTCATTGTCTTTTTCGTTTCACAAAGTATTTGTTATGATGAAAAAGCACAGCCAGTAAAAACTAACGTGACATGAGTAATTACATACATATTTAAATATCAAACAAGTCAAGTTGAGATCTTAGACAAATTTTGTTTTGTTTTCTTTTTTATTTTTTCTATTTAGAGAAAGATTATTTTGATGAGCATCATAATTCATATATCTCATGGAAATTTTTGTCAAAAATATAATTAACTTAATATATATTAAATGAACCAAAAAGTAAGATCACTTTCTAACCTCAAATTCAAACGAATAACTTTTAAACAAATGTTTATTATTAAATTAATAATAAATAATCATTTCTCGTTATCAATAACCTTTTTGCACCTAGTATGTAAAATTTATAATACCAGACTGATAAAAATAGATCAATTTTTAATTAAAATATAAAACGACATTACTTTCCGGTTCCGCCAATATATATATGTACGTATTTTCCCGAGATATTGTACAAATATCGTCCCGAATATTCTTCCTTTCTTTCTTTTTTTTTTTTTTTACACCATTTGATGGTTTCATTAAATGAAAACAAACGTACTTTAAAAAATAACAAAATAAAAAAATAAAATGTTTCAATAAAATGGCAAGGAAAATATACAACACGGCATTGATTATTATAATATTAATTAATATAAGTAGGATTTAAAAAAAATCTTTGGTTTACACAATTCGTCCATACTTTGTATGATTTTACAGTAAACTTTATCAAGTTCTTGTTTCTCACATTTAATAATTTAACTGTGATTTAAAAGGGAGCTTACTAAAAGTTAAACTAGATAATAATAATAATAATAAGAATAATAATAAAAATAATAATAATAATAAACGCTTATCACTTGTCATGAATAGTACGAGCATTGAGAAAATAGCATGAGAGAAGAAAAAAAAGATTCATGCTTACCCTTTCGCTAAATTTTACACTTTATACATAATAAGAGTCATACAATTTTGTTTTTCCATTCATTCCGCCATTTTCTTATTCCGCCATTTTCTCATTCGGCCATTTTCTTATTCCGCCATTTTCTCATTCGGCCATTTTCTTATTCCGCCATTTTCTCATTCGGTCATTTTCTTATTCCGCCATTTTCACATTCTCTCTCTCTTTCTTTCTCTCATACACATATAACCCTTGTTAATAATTTCTTATCTAAAAATTTCTATTTTTACATTCACCAGTAACAGTCTTCAATGGTTTTTCTTTTTTTTTTTTTTTCATTAAATATTCCGTTTTTATATATATATATATCGTAATAATAAAATTCTTTGCAACATTTAGCAAATGATTTCTTCACAGGGATTTCACCGGTTATTTTTTTTTTTTCTATATACAAAACCGGTCTTTTTTTTCCCCTATAAGTCTTGAGACTTTAACAACGTATAAAATGAATGCATAACATTGTGTTTGCATTTTTGGTATTAACCTAAAAAAAAAAAAAAAAATAATTAAAAGAATGTGAGTACATTTTGTAAAATGAATAATATTAGGTGGACCAGAAAGTAATGTCACTTTCTAACCTTAAATTTTTAACAAATATATATTTTTAATCAATAACATAATCAATCACGTTATCAACAACCCTTTTTTCATCTATTTATGTAAACTTTTAATAATGGACAGATCAAAATCAATTTGTTTTTGATTAAAATATAAAAATTGGCATGCGTAGAAACGCCATTACTTTTCAGGTCCCCTAATAAATAAAATCATCATTTAATTATTTGTCAATCTTACCACATTTTGATGAAGCTTTTGACCAAAGTATACGCACACGGAATGTATTAACAGATTAACATATACTAGAGATTCCATACGTCAAACTTTTTTCAAGGACAATATGGAAAGCGGTAAGTGGTTCAAGAATATGTATGAGGAACGACAATAAAGATGGATTTCTTAAAAACGAAACCTCATCGTACATGTCTGCGGTGGAATATGCCAAGCTCATTGGACGCAGCATACGTTGCAACAATTGTTCCCTAAATAACATCAAACATTTTTATATAAAATATAAATAAAAAGGAAAATGTGTATCCGCCATCTTGTAACCTTTTGCACTCGAGGACCTTTTTTACTTGAGCTAACCAACAATTCAAGAATTACAGTCCCTTTTCAACCCTTTAAGTATATCTTAAAAGAAATAATTTATTATAAATCGTAAATAAACAAATAAAATAACAAAAGACTTGAAATCTACCAGGCGCCGTATCAGCGCCATTCGAGTTGTCACTTAAACTGGGTGCTAATTCGACGCCATTCGAGTGCAAAGGGTTAATTTTGTTGATTCATTATTTTACCTTATCGCCAAACAAATGAACAATTGAAACTTTCCATCTTTTCCCAAATTTTGACTAATTATATTAATCTTATCAATAAGCTGACAATAACCTCTCAATATTCTAATATTCATATCATTATCCGATTGCATTTTTCTATTCCAATATAATTTCTGCGAGGAGTTCATTTCATCCATCAAAGACGTCTCAAAGTCTTGTCTCACTTTTACTACAAATTTTAATACAAATGAACATACAATTATTATCAAATAGATATATATATATATAAGGGAACATAAAATAAATAGGTTATACTTACAGAAATAATCCCAAACGTATAAATTTTTACCAAATATTCTTTGACTTTTAAAACCAAATAAAAAGATTTGTTCTAAGGAAGGTACGAGTCCACCTTCGCCACAAATTAAGGCAGTTAATGAATTATCTTTGCACTCTCTTATGTAATGATATTTAACTATTGCATTTACAGCTTCTCCTGCAACAACAATTGTTCAAATGAAAATCATCAAATTTACTTTTTAAGAAAAAAACAAAACAAAACAATAATGAAACACACACAACAATATTTTAACATACTTACCAAGAATATATTGTAATTCATCTAGTGATAACATAGGTTTCCTTGGTATACTTGGAGATCTACATCTTGGAGGAGTCGAACAAGATTCAACCAATTCTTCGTTATCAATACTACGTGATACTAAAGCACCAACTAACAATCTTTCCGTAGATCCATCATCGATACCTTTACCAAGCCATCTTCCGCAAGGAAATTTAAATGTATGTCCAGTCACTTCGTTTCTTACCACCACGTGTTCAACCATCCATCTAGGTGAAGGACCAGTATTGTCATGGCCTATCCGTAAAGTTGATAGGACACCTAAGTTTTTATGCTAAACAACATAGAATTATATATAATAGATGATATATGTCATGATGATTGTTATTTAAATGAAATAATAATAATACTTACATGAAATACAAATTCTAATGCACTTTTAGGAATCGGTACTGGATTAGTTTCGCATAACGTGCCAGAAATGGCGATCCAACTATGAGCAGATGTTGTAGCAGCGCTTGCTTTACGACTAGGAAATATGACGACTCTGTATGGTAATTTGGTAGTTGGATAATTATTTGTAAAACAAAAATAATCAACTGCGTTTAACGTCAATAAATGATACAAAAATTGTTCCTTTTCTTCCTCGCAACGTAAAAATGCTGATCTTTTATATTGACCCCTTAAACAAATAGAAAATAATATAAAAATTAATCAAAATTTATTTGATTGATTCATTTTTAATTAACCCATTGACTGTCAGACATATTTAAAGCGTTTTACTCTTTGGGTGCCATGTTTTTATTTTTAAAAATGGATGAAATTTTACAAAATATAATAATACTAGGGGTGCCCCGCCACGCGTTGCTGTGGCTCACAATCAGTACACATGTCTTTAAGTCATCAAATTACCTTATACCGCCATCTGTTAGAATGATATAAACTATCCTATATTTCAAGTTGAATGAAACTGCACACAGTGTGCAAAATTTTATTAAAATCGGTTCAGTAGTTTAGGAGTCCATTGCGGACAAACAACGTGATACGTAATTTATATATATTAAGATTAAAGTTATGATACAATATTGTTTTATTTTTAGTATTAAATTATTATATAATTTGTTATTCAATATTTTTAATAATTAAACTCAAATAACCATTTGAAATTAATCAAAAATTGCAGTTTTGATACACATACTTACTACGAGATTCAAGTTACTTCTATAATATTGTAATGACATTTACTATAATTGATAATTAATATTTTTTACAAAATAAAAATTTGTTATTCAATCTTTTTAACAATTAAACTCAAATAACCATTTGAAATTAATCAAAAATTGCAGTTTTGATACACATACTTACTACGAGATTCAAGTTACTTCTATAATATTGTAATGACATTTACAATAACTGATAATTAATATTTTTTACAGTATATAAATTAGTTATTTAATCTTTTTAATAATTAAATTCAAATAACCATTTGTAATTAATCAAAAATTGTAGTTTTGGTACACACACTTACTACGAGATTCAAGTTACTATAAAGAACTACGTGAGTTTTGTAATTGTCAGTCAACGGGTTAAATATTATTTAATTAAATATTAACGTACCTTAAAAGTTCCGTATCGGATAACAATGTTTTTAAATGTCTGGATAATAATTTTTTTTCCAATGCTAATCTAACCCATGCTCTGGCGTATCCAATGTGCGTTTTAATGTCCGTCATAGCTTGAACATTTCTAATATCAAAAATCAATGACTCAGGTAATGGACGTAAATGTTCCGGTCCACTTGCTCTTCTTTCTCCAGGAGATTTGTGCTTGTCCGTTACTCTCGTAGGTGATACGTCAGTCTCTAATGCCAGATTTGACAAATCTAATAATTAAAAATACATTTTTTTATTATTATTATTATTATTTGTATCAATGTATAAACAATATAAAAATGGCACACACAGGATATAGAAAATAAATAATTATTTTCAAAACCTACGATCAAACTAATACTCTTTCTGACAAACTAAGTTCTATTTGATTATAAAATTCATTTATTATGTTAATTTTAATAAACTTAATTATAAATATAACATTGTTTAAAATTAAAATACAAGCAACATGCCTTGTAGGACGTGAATAGGTTTGATACAATAATTTTATACAAAATAATGGATAAGAATATCATGCTGTGACTAATTTACAAACAAAACATTAATAATTATTTAAAAATAATACAAATAAGAGACGATTACAAAGGATCAAGCTATTGTACAATTAATAAATAAATGATAAAAATTATAATTGCAATGAAATATGCATGCATAAACAAACAAACAAATAAAAAAAATATATATATGTATATACACAACGAACAAAATGTAATCAAAAAATATATATCTTAGTTTTGATATAAAACAATATGAAAATCTGTAAATAATAATATTAATAATTAATATAAATTAGTATTGTTAGTCAAACTTGAATAATTCTTATGGCAAGCCAATGACAAGGCTTACCATTCAAATTCTCCTTGATATATGAAGCAATCACAAAAATATTTCTGCTCTTTAATGTTGCGATTAAACGATCCGGTAACCCAAAAAGTTTATTTGGTACTGATTTCTTGGGTACTGATAAAAATAAAATCAAAAGTTAAAAAATAAAAACAAACACATATGAGACAAAATGAGAAAACATTTAAAAAAAAAAAAAAAACCATTCGTCATTTGCAAATAAAATATTATATAATGTAAAATAAATCAAATGAAATATTGAAATTGTGCAAGAAAAAAAAAATGGCGAATGAAATGGAACAACGACAGCAATAAGAAATATAAACTTTTGTAGATAAAAATCACTTACAACTAAATAGTGCAGGATTATCTACGAATGAGTAACTAATCATCTACTTTAAATAGAGTTAATTATCTTAAAAAATAAGTTTTTGTGACACGTACAATCGAGACGTTTCCGTAGCACGCACCACGCTAAGGCTGCATTTCCGGAACACATCATAAAATGGTTTTATGATATTTTATAAAATAATAATTATATGACAAATAGTGTTTCAAATATATATATATGTCTCTTAGTAACATTTTGTAACATTAAGCTGTATAAATAAAGGGTGTCATAACTTTTACAAGCAGTTTCAATATTTTATTACAGCTTCCAAATAATCACACATACACAATTATTCATTAATTAATTTATTTTTAATTTATTATTAATTATTATTGAATAATTATTAAAATATATTATATTTATTATATTAATTATATTATAATTATTATAATATATATAATAATATCATATATATAATATTATAATAATTATGGCAACTAGATAATTGCGGATTTTGCCGGTAGGTGGCTTTTTAAAATTAGCAATGGCTTAGTTGCCAATCCAATATAAATATAATTAAATTTATTATTAATTAATAATGAATAATTATTAATAATATATATATATATATATATATATAAAATTTTATAATAATATATGGCAACTAAAGTAATTACAAATTTTGCCGATAGATGGCTTTTTAAAATCAGCAATAACTTAGTTGCCATATATTAAATTGATTATATTAATTATATTATAATTTATATATTATATATACATTTTTTTTTGGTTTTATATACAAACACCATGTATATAAATTATTTTTAGTTATAGACACCCTTTTGTGCACAATAAAAGAAATGGTGCAACACAATTAGCTATAATATAAGGCATCAGTGATGCAACAACAAATGTTCCGTGAAAATATTTATTCGAATTTCAAATTAGTAATTTCATTGAATGAATGAATTAATTAATTATATGAAAACCTCACCAATATGTTAATACATAAGCATCACTGATAAATATAAAAAAAAAAAAAATTCATATATTTATTAGCATTGGGTATATTATAATGAAAATATTATTCAATAAAAAAAAAACAATGATTCTCAAAGTTATGGTTATTTACATTGAAAAATCATTTAGTTCTCGTTAATTATATTTATTTATAATAAATTGAAAAGTTTAACTCACCAGGAGAAAGAAAGTTGGGATCAGTTTTATTAGTATCGTTACGTTCCTCAGATTCCTGATAAGTCGTAAGATGTGACCATAGTGCACTTTTTCCTTGTTTATTTTGTAAACCATGACTCCATATCCTTTCTAATAAATCACATAGACTAGCAACTAATGTATTTTCTTCTACGCCAAACAGAGATTCTTTAGCGTGTCCTAAAGCAAATGCTTCGGAACCCATTTTCTCAACTAACATTCTTTTCGTTTTAGATTTACAATCCTTTTTATGAAACCAAAACAAACAATTCAAGTATATGAAATAAATGTAATAATATTGTACACGTGTTTTTTGTTTATAATATGTGCCTGTATTTTACCTTGAGTAATTTTTCAACAAAAGTCCAATTAGCTTGTGCTATCAGTGCTGGACTCATATCAGCAGAGAGTTTAGTTTGTGGTCTTGGTGACTGAGATTCTTGTGGTGCTACCGTTTTCCCATTAGATTCCATTGATTTCATTTTATATTTCCACTGTGTCTGTCCTTTTCTACTACTACAAGTAAAAACAAATATTTCAGAATCTAATCGTATTTTCAAAATGAATTTTAACCCTTTCACTTCGGCAGTCCAGTCCGTCAAAATGTCGGACGCGCAGATGCCGGATATATCCGGCGCTCGTACGTACAAGTCATCGGGCGGCTGCCGGATATATACGGCGCTCGTACGCACAAGTCATCGCGCGGCTGCCGGATATATACGGCGCTCGAAGCGAAAGGGTTAAATAATAAACAAAATAATACAAAAAAATACTACATACAATTGTAATATTAATATCTTACCGAAGAATACTATCGGAATAGCAGAAAAAAAAAATAAAAGCAGCCATTATTAATCATTTCATTCAATTTATGTATTATATATATATGTATAAAATGATATACCTTTGAGCAGGTTCTTTATTTAACGCTACAGAATCGAGTAAAGGAAAACTTCGAAAATACGCAGCTCTGTGTGGAACAATTTCGATTGGCGGATTGGTTTCAAAATCAACGTTGGTTAATCTCTGTTCCAATACTTTTTCAGTTTCAGAAATGCTCGTACAAGTTTCGTAACGCGTCGATCTTATAATAGTTTCGCCAACTTTTTTCCTATAAAAAAAAAAAAATAAAAGAAATAAAATCAATCTATCTCAATCATAAATTTTAGAGAAATTAATCAAAAGTTTTCTAAAAGAAGTTAACCTTAAAAATGTAATTCTATCGTCAAAAACTTTGATATTATAATCAAGTTCGTTCCAAGTTGACATAACTTTGCTATCTACCAAGGAAGCAAACATTTGAGTTTCTAAAAATCTTGATAAAAATGGTAGATGTTGGGCAGGTTGATCAGATAAAAAGGTAGCTTTATCAAACACATGCATACTGTCTCTGTTATTCAACCATTCTTCTTTATTTTGATTAGGTTGAATAACAAAATGTTCATAACAACAAAACATTTGTGCAAAACGATTCAAAAAAATTTCCCTAATGGCGTTATTAAAAATTAACGTTTCTTGATATTCCTCTTGCGGTGTGAGTATTTTATCATCACTGGTATCCTCCATGGGATCAATATCATCTACATTTACACCTAAATTCAACATACACAAGTTTTAAAAAACATTTCAATAAATTTTAACCTCAATTGTGACAATTGTAAAAATAATTTCTTGTTCATAATTTGTACCCGTTCTTTTAACTATGTCAACGATACGTTGAAAGGCATCCGTTTGCTGTGTGGAATCAGGTCTGTCCCAATCTAAAACATCGTGTAACGAATGCTTTCTACGTGGAAGGTGAAAACCAGAACCAGGAAGAGTCAAGCTGCTAGTCATAATGTCACCATTGACATAATTTACGAGCATATTATCAGTCCTACAAACAAATATTTCATTATTCTAACAAATACAAAACGATGATTGTACATTTTGTTAAATTCAGATGGAATAAATAAAAAACGTGAAAAATACTGACGTACTTTCCCGTTAGTGGTACTTTGTACTTATTTAAAAGTGCTCTAATTTCAGCAATAAATTGCATCTTATGTGGAAATACCGGCAACTCCTCCGGGAATTGGCTACTTTGTTTATCTATATCTACATAACAAAGATTTGCCTGCAAATCAAAGAACAATTTAATTTGTTTAATCTCATTCAAATCAATTTGATTCAATAGAAACAAATAAAACGGCATACTCACTTCGCTAGCAATTTTTAATACACCACCTTCACTTTGTGCATGCAATCCCATAATAAACGGGACCGGTGCATCCAAGAAATGATGTAAACTGGCTGGCAATATGGGCACGTAAACGTGTTGCCAAGAAAATGGAAACAAAAGGGCAGTTATACATTCGGATACGACCATGAGTTTGTTGAAATCCGAGCTTCTGAGTAAAACTTGATTTTCCAATAGAACACAAGTGAACAATTGTATAACACAGTCAGCCCCTAGCCAGGTAAACACATCTTTCAAAGGATAATCCAACAAAGGTAATTCTCGGGATGGTTTTGGCTGATGTATCACTAATTCTAATGGAGCTTTAGCTGGTTCATCGTTTGGTATAAAAAATTTCAATGATTTTCCAGCTAACGGTACTGGTACATTGTACAGAAGATTGTACACGTAGGATTCTAAACTAAGGCCAGGTCCCGGATGCCTAGGAACACATCTGAACGCAAAATAATACATTTCATTAAAATATAAAATCAAATGATGTAATAAACAATGAAATTAATTTACTTGTATAGATTGGTGAGGAACATTCTGGCCGCGTGAAGATAGGGTTGTTGGCAAAGTAAAGAAATTGACTTGGTCACTAATAATTTATCTTTGGTTGAATCGTAATAAGCTAATGCTGCACTTGGTGAATGAGCTGACAATTTAAAATGACGTGGCAACGATCTGGTGTTGTGTCCTCCCTCTTGACCCTTTCTTGCCCTAAAATAAATATGTCAATTAAATCTTAACGCCATCTTTCTTTATCATATACTTTGATACTAATCTATGCGTGAAGTTGATAGGATCCATGAAAATGAAGTAAAACTCACGTTGGGGGGGTACCATTTTGACCACTGCTCAATTCTGTGATATGCATCGCTTGCAACGTTTGCATAGCAGCACATATATTACGATTACGACATTCCTCATAAAATACCAAACTGAAACCATAAGTTCTGTGACCATCTTCTTTGGTAAGGACAAATGAATGAAACGTTGGCTCCACCGAATGTTTCTGGGTTCGAAATCTCAAACCACTTGGTAGACATAGCTAAAAAAAAAAAACCATTTATTTTTATTATTATTATTATTAATTATTTTTCATATATTTTAATCTTGTTTTATTACGGTGAATCACAAAAGTTCGTTATTGGGTTTAAAACTTTACTTTGATACTGCATAATGGATTATTGTTTTTTTTTTTGTAAATGTTCATTTAAAAACAAAGTATGAACTTTTGGGGTTAACCTTAATATTTTCTTTTTAATTAAATGAAATGGAATGTACCATACAAACTGCATGCTCGTCGAATGGGTTCCATGGTACCGAATCTGGATAATGTCCTAAAACTTTGCTCTTGTATGCTCGATCCAATGGTGTGCATTGTAAAGAATCTCCTATAATTTATAAACAAATACAATGTTAATAAATGAATTTAATTTAAATGAATTTTTGTAATATTTAAACGTGCAGTTAATTATTTTTGCATTTTTTTCTAATGTTAGAGTAAAATTCAAACGACGTGGCCATATTGGTTTATTCGAACCAATAGAAATGCTTGAAAATATTCGAATGGTTTTGACATTTGATTTAAAAAGTGAATTTAAAGTTTTTTTTTTTTTAAATATAAAAATGACTACGTGACGAAACTGCAGTAGAGGATGATAAAAATGCATCGAAGTATTTCCACTTAACTAATAGACGACAGATATCCAACGATGAAAGACAAGAGCAACTACTTAAACGACGAGTAAAAAGACCATGACCTGGTTACCAACTTCTTAAATATGTTTTTAAATAAAATGAACGTCATCTCTCTCTCTCTCTCTCTCTCTCTCTCTCTCTCTTTCTATTTCTATATTTATATTTCTATTTCTATTTCGTTTCAAACTTCATTTGCATTCCTTTCTTCATCTCAAGTAATATAAACGCAAAACAAAACTTTACATTCGTGCTTTATGATGCGTGCATAACATCGCGCCATTACTAACTACGTGAGACAAAATCATTTTATATGTTAGATAAGCAAATTGTTATTATAAAAAAGAATATAGTTTAAATTTATTTAATAATTTATTTATACATTATTTTTATACTATCCATTAAAATATAACGAAAAGTTAATATCCCTTTTTCTTTTCAAAGTGTCTTTAAAAAACTTTGTTAGTTAAATGAAATATTTCGTAAAATTGGCGGCAAATATAAATCGAAAAAAAATCTATCTTTACGATTTCTTTTTCTTTTGGATTAAATTAATGAAAGATTTCATTATAGTAAGATTTAAAATTAAATAATTTATGTGTTATTCATAATATAAAATATGAATCAAGATGAAAATTATGGTAATAAAGTAGCTAATTGTTTATATTTGTGTATATTGCACACGAACATATAATTATGTGTATCTAATTATATATGTATTTTGATTGGACACTATGTTTCACTGACTAATATCAAAATATTATGCATAATATATACTCCCACGTTAAAGGAAAGCTTCATATTCCTTAATGCATTATTATCATTCGGTCGAGTCATAAATTCTCACGTTAATGCAACACATAGAAAGCTAGAATATTCTCCTCGTAACTCCGGAAAATTACTGTCTAGCAAAAGCTGCTGCACATTGGCATACACCCACACAAATAAATGCATACATATGCACACGAGGTTATTGCTATGAACAGGCAAGCGTATCGAGTTATCAGAGATGTCTTGATAAACTGATACAGTTATGCTCTTGAACATCATATATATTTACTTATACATGTACATATAAGTACATATATATGTAATTCATGATTCCATTTTCCAGATTATAAACACGACTACTACTATCTAAGAATATTAACGAAAAGAAATCTTTTCAAATGAGGAGAAACAAAATGGCTGACTTTGAAAAAATTCAAATTTCGCGGGTGTTGTTCAAATGGTAAAGAAGTGCATCATTAAGAATGAATTTAAATTACGCGCGTTTAAGAAAATGCGCGGGTAATTAAAAATGAATTTAAATTTCGCGGGTTTAAGAAAAAAGCGTGGATCATTAAGAAAAATTCAAATCTAATGAAAAAACTTGATGCAAAAAGGATTACATTAATAGAAAAACATAAAAAATAAATATGTCACCATAGTAATATTAAATAGAATAATTATTATTCAAGAAAACAAATGACGAACAATCAAAATGTTGATTCTTTTTAGGTTAGAAGAAAAGTTCGTGCGGTTTTTTTCAAAATAAACATTTCCAAAGTAAATTTTACTAAAAAAAAAAAAAAAGAAATACAATTCGTTATTAATTTATAAAACAATTTGTAACATAACGAACGCATGAACTTTTCATATTCACCCAAATACGTGGATAAAAGAATAACCAAAAAAGAGAAACAAAAAAATTCAAATTTGCCGGGCTTTGTGGTTTTTAGGGAGGTAAAGGGGGTTAAGGCAAGTTGTTATTGAACGTGGTACATATCCCCCAGGCTCGACCTGAATGAGACTGTTGACGTCTTGGCAAACTTCCAACTACCGCAGAGAGTACCTAGCGAATACAAGAGTACTTCTTCTATATACGAGGTTAATCGTTCGCGATAGAAGGGAGAAAAAAAGGGAGGAGGATGGTTTCACCCTACCTAACCGCCCCCCCCCCTTCTTCTTTTCGTTTCCGAGAGAGATACCTCGATTTTTCTCTCTTTTTATTTCTTTTTTATATTCCTTCTCCCTTTTTATGACACAACTATACCGTATTGTCTTATTCTTTCAACTATGTTGTTGTGTGTGTGTGTGTTTCTACTTTTTACTACATTCAAAATGTAACATCAGGAATCCTTCATTTACCATAATCAAATCCCCTTTTTCCTTATCCATTTCCATCCTTGAACAGGCAATTGATTTTATCTTTTTGATTACATTTTTATTTTTTGTTTATTATCAATTGTTGATATTTATGTATATTTTTTTAATATTTTTATTTTACAGTATGTATAAAAGATTAAATAAACAGTAACAATAATTAAACTTGTTTGTTAACTACTGCGAAATAATTGAATATACTTTGTTAAATTGTAAACAATTTCATTTCACATTTTTGTTTGAATAAATACGTTTACATTTGTATTTGTTTGTAACACTCCCATAAATATTGTTTTACAGTAACGTTAGAATGGTTACACAAGAATTAGGTATTGTTATCTAAGAAACTAAATGAAAAGAGAAACCGTGTGTTACTTTTATTGTTTGAAAATGTGTTTTCGCGCGCGATTTAAAACATACTACGTAAGTCAACTATTTAAAGTGTACTACTCTAGTTTATTACGAAGATGTTTGTTTATTTTCTTTTTTTGGGGGTAGGAGGAGNAGTGAATTCTCAAAGCTCGGTTACGCCTTTTCTAAAAAAAAAAAMCAGAGTGAAGACTGAGAGAAAAAAAAACAAAACAAAAAAAAATGGGCAGAGTTGCTGAAGTAGCCTACTTTTAAAAAAAAAAAAAAATACTAAATCCTACCTAATGTATGTATGTGTGTGTGTGTGTGTGTGTGTTTGTCTTTCTGGTAAACTGAGAAGTAAGAGATCGCAAACCTAGATGAGATATGCTGACTTTCTCGGAAAAACCCGTAATGAAAGAAACCCCTGTGCGAAGCGTCTCGTCTTTGTACACCACACTTCGTTGTAAATGAACTATACTTCTTGTATAGATGACATCTTTGTATGATATGTATGTATGTATGTATGTGTGTGTGTGTGTGTATATATAAGATACTTTGCGTTTTACTATCTCGCACACGAAAAAAAAAAAAAAAAGATAGAGAGATGTAATCTCGGATAATCTTTTTTTTCTTTTTTTTCTTATCATTTTTTTTTTCTTTAAAATTCCCTGAGGGATAAATTAATTTGAATAAAATGGAAATTAATATAAACTATACATTTATTTTTAATTTTTTTGAATGGAAAATATTTTTTTGTAGTTAATCTTTCGAATATTATATAAACGAATTGATGATGATTTATTTTGAAAAAAAAAAAAAAAAATCAAAATTGAATAAAAAAAAGATTGAATTTTAATCGAGCAATTTAAATTTGAATTTTAACGGATTATTTATACAAGTGTTTGAATTTTTTTTTTTTTTTGAAAAAGAAAAAAAGTATAAAAATAAAAATTGAATAAAAAAAAAAAAACAAGATTGAATTCTAATCGAGGAAGTAAATTTGAAATTTAACGAACTTATCGTTCAGGTCAATCTCCGTTTTGAAATTGCGTCCACGAACGAAAACGATGGATAATCGGATAATTTGAAACTACCTTCTCGAAACGTTATCGGAATCATCGTTTTCCTCTCATTTACACTTAAGTGAGAGTAATATAAGTAACCTACTAAAACTCTCTTTATGGTGTCTCATGGTAACTGTTACGGAAAATATAAAAAAAAAAAACATAAAACTAAAATAAATATTAAAGTTAACCAAAAGTTCGTGTTGTTTGTTTCATTGAGTTGTTTCAAATTAGCGCCATTTTCTTTTTCGTGAAGTCAATACAATTACTTTATATGCAAATGAAATAATAATAATTATTAACTATAATAAATTCTAATAATTATAATATAATAATAATAATTAATTGACTTTGATAATAATTCGTTAAGATATCAAGTAACGCGAACGTTTGTGCCGCTCGACGAATCAAATTTGTTGAGAGAAATTGAACCAAAATGGCGGACGAAATTAACTTACGAAATCAAATACGAAATGGTGATATTCAATTAATTAATTAATTAATTTAATTATTATAAACAATAATTGAACGATAAATATTTATCTAATCAACAAACATTCATATCAAAACAACAACCATTTCATTATTTCTTTTGTTACAGAACCAAAGAGAGGGAGTGGGGGTAACTAACACTAGGGCGGCAATTTGAATGACGTGTTGCGTCCTCTCTTTGAGAAGAAATGATTATGATGATAATGATGATGATGATGATGGTGGTCCCTTAACGTCGTCAATGCGTTTAATTGAGCATACAAAATTGCAGGAGAATTTTCTTCTGCCGGTTAAAGTTAAATGACCAATCCGGTCCGTCTTTCTTGAAGCAAACAACGACAACAACAATAAATCCTCGCAGAATGATTTATTAATGTAATTTAATTTTTATTAACAATTAACAAATAATTCATTCTTTAATAAATAAATAAATATATATATATTTAACTTAATATATTGTTTAATTCTTTAATATTGGGTTAGCAACCCAAAAATCATTGCTGATTTTTAAAAGCCACCTAGCGACAAAATCCGCAATTAAAAATATAAAATTTGATATAAATATTATTAAATTAACTATTATATATATTAAATATTATTATTATTATTATTATTAATTAGTCGAGAAAATAACAAAATGGCGG